ATATCTCCATGCAATAGGCTCCGCTCCCAATGATTCCTGTCTGGCGTGTGGCACAAGTCCTGGCGACCTGCAGCATGCACTGTATGAATGCCCGCGGGGGGAAGCACATCGAGGCCTTCTTAAGGAGAACATCGCGAGACCGGGCCCGGATGTACTCTGGACGAGGCCACAAGAGGTTGCCGCTTACCTGTCTGCCTGTGGCAGACTGCAGCCCTCCTAACGGAGGCCAGCCAGAGGAAGGAAGGAAGGAAGGAAGTAGCACAGTTTCAGTGTTGTGGAAAATCCCCACAGGCTAGATCAACGCTGTTGACAACTAAATCGATCCCGGTATGGAAGTTTGGGGTTCGATTCCGAGCGGAATATGAATGTTATTGGTCCTTCTAAATTGAATCTTTTCACCCTAGGCTTGGCCTCTGGTGTAAAACGTCGAGTCAGGATGAGCATTAAATCTAGATTTATATTTGAAAAGTAAACGTGTGACTTCTAAGCAACAGGAGGTTGGTTTATTTCAGCCGAAAGAATATGTTGATGAGTAATTGAGGAAAAGATGCTTTGTAAAACATTGGTTAGTTCACAAAGTGACGTCGAAGGGTTGTAGTTGTAGTGTAGACATCACCAGCACCAAGTTTACAATACACAGTGCTACAGTCAAGGAGTATGTCGGATTCTATGTTTTCCCTTTTTTTCTCTGGTGAATGAAAACATAATATTACACTGGTCATTGCGTTTTGACCAACGAATCTTTCCTTTCGTTATGTCCCCTGTTAATACACATGGAGACTTTAATTGGGTTTTTTTTCTGTAACTTTTTAAGGACGAAGCAGACATTATAAGATATGTCCCATCAATAGTAGACAAAGGCAATGTTTTGGCACATATCGAATCATTAAACATAATAATAATAATAATAATAATAATAATAATAATAATAATAATAATAATAATAATAATAATAATAATAAATAGCATATTTGAACAGCTCATACCTCCGCTCAACAGCAAGCTCTATGCGCTTTACACTACATAATTACCCCAGCAGACGATAGAGAACACTCCGAAACATTCTAGGTTTCCCGAGAAGATAGTAAGAAACAAGTGTTTGCATATTTCTCAGTATGCATGCATGTATATTATTGCCTGACTTGTTAAGTATGAAAACAGAACGGAACAATAAGCATGGTGAAAAAAAAAAGCTGTACATCAGCCTGTTTTAAAGTGCCCCAAAACGGCATGTACCCAGGAGTAGTCCAATGATGAGAATTCATGTCCTCAGAGAGTTAAGAAAATACGTCATGTCCCTCAACATGTGCAAACCGGATGAACATCTGCTCGTTTGGAAGGCTGAGCAGTAGCAGCCGAGTCAGAATAGGGAACTGACAGCAGGGAGCTAAAACACTGCAGGAAGGATGAATCTTAATAAAGCAAGATATGAGTAATAAACAACATCTTATCTTTAACTACTACTTTCATTTAGGATGTTGTCTTTACTTGTTAATTCTATTTTAGAACGTTGTCTGTACCCTCTACGTCTATTGTTGAATACTGTCTTTTTAAATCTACTTATATTTTAGAATGTTGGCTTTTCCTTCTACTTCTATTTTAGGATACGGACCTTTAGGATATTGTCCTTTACATCTACATCTATTTTAGGATATTGTCTTTTACTTCTACTTCTATTTTAGAAAAAGGTCTTTTTACGTCTACTTATTATGTTATAGAATGTTGGCATTTCCTTCTACTTCTATTTTTTTAACATTGTCTCCGCCTTCTAATTCTATTTCCGATTGTTCTTATTATCAGTTTAGCTTTTCTTTTCCGGAGGCAAAATGACCCAAATTGTATTAATAAAGCTGCCGATCCTATATGCAGCCTCCCATTGTTCCACATTCGCACCAGTAGTTTTCATTTTCTGCGTTCCACTCTCTTGATATGCCATTATCCTTTACTAATTTACATCACACACACAATGCTACAAGCAGGTCTATTATTGCTTGTTTTTGGATAACATGTTTGTGTTTTGTTTTTCAAAGTTAGAATTATCCACTTCGGAGACCCACACGACATGGTAATGAATGTTCTGCTTGGCGGACATCCACGATTACATAAAACTATTACATTAATTTTGTGTCCACACGCTTTCAGAACAAAAGTATGGTGGTTCTACTATGTAATAACGATTCCATGTATAATTCACAACTCTCTGAATTTTTGGTTTTTTTAAAATATCATAAAGATCCGTTCATATAATATGTATTTACACCATCATATGAATGGAAATAAGAGAGACATTATGTTTTCCTGTTCCACTACGCGAAGGAGAATATTTATTAACAGTAACAGAGATTAGAGGGTATTCAATAACAGAGGATTTTGCTTGTAATATCAAGGTACTCACAGATATTATATTATGTGAGGTGCAGGAGATGAACCGGAAGATCGGGAACAAAGCCAATAGAAATGCTGTCGTAAAATGTTGATTGTACGGAACGTCTTTGCACATGGAATGGACGTGACAATGGAGTAAGCCATTTCTCTCTCTCTTTCTCTCTCTCTCTCTCTCTCTCTCTCTCTCTCTCTCTCTCTCTCTCTTTCTCTCTCTCTCTCTTTTTCTCTCCTCTCTTACTCACCCCCTCTCTCATATCTCCCCTCCCTCTCCCCTGTCTCCTTTGCTCTCTCTCTCTCCTCTCCTGCCCTCCTGACACACTCTCACTCCCTCTCTCCCACGCTCTCTCTCTCTCTCTCTCTCACTCTCCCCCTCTTTCTCCTCTCTCCCCTCCCACTCCTCACTCTCCTTTGCTCTCTCTCTCTCTCTTTCTCTCTCTCTCTCTCTCTCTCTCTCTCTCTCTTCTCCCCCCCTCTCTTACACCCCCTCTCTCTTTCTGTCTCTCTCTCACCTCTCCATCCCTTCTTCAAGCTGTTCTTTATTTTCTATCTCGATTCCTTCATCTCCACATTTCAGTATCTCTCGTGTATTCCACCATCAATCTCACTTTCTCCTATTTTTTTCACTCGGGCTTAAATAATGCACAGAAACATGACTCATGAAGGCGAGCAAAACATAAAGTATCGATGCACGATATTCTGTTTCGTCGTACTGTCACAAACATTATGAGTATGCATTTGAGATTTGAACTTGTGAATTATTAGAATTAATCATCCATCCAAACTGGTATATCATACAGAGGTGCCATAAGATTTCAAATCAACATCAAGAGGAATATCACTTAGGGCTTCCCAACTCTTGGCCAGCTTTTTCACTAATCTCGGACCAAACTTGTCCACCAACGTTCTATCATCGAGTTTTGGCTGTTGGTCGTTCGGGGACTCCCACGACCTGTAGTGATGGAGTAGCGCGTCAGAATCCGGAACTTTGTCAATGACCCCCGTGTGCTTCCACAGGGTGTGGATACCGACCACTTTGGTCTTTTTGGGAATCACGATAAACTTGGAGCGCACGTTGTGGGCGAGAATCTTCGTCTCTCTCAAGGTGTGCCTCAGAACGACCGAGTTGTACCTCAAGGCAACGTCGTTTCCCTCGAAATCCTCGGCCAATTTAGGCCACTCCTTACGGAAGAACACACAGCGGAACTGGAATGCGGACACTTTGGGTTGCTTCGCCTGACGAACGCTCACCATCTCGCTCCAGTTGGCGTATGTTTTGGGCACGATGAACTCGTCCAGGTCTTGGAAGACGATGTATCTACTGGACGCTCGGTACCGGTACAGGCAGTCGTTGAGGGCAGCCATCTGGCCGAAGTAGTGGATCTCCGGCGGGTTCTTTGTCGGCGGCCAGGTGTCAGTTCTGAGCGGGAGGTGCCAAGGAAGAATTTCCACGTCTCCTCGTAGTGTGTAGTACTGGAGGGCCTGAGGGAAACCGGAGAGTAAAAAAGGAAAGAATTGTTTTAGTAAGTATTTAACGGTACTTGCAACACAATAAGATTAGAGGTGTTACAAGAGAGTATCAAACACAAATAAGAAGGAGGGGAGATAAAGACAATAGATGTTTGATAGGAGAGAAGAAGCAAACTACACCAGAGCACCCGTCAACCACCCATGGCTCGGTCCTATTGGAGAAGGACGTTAAATTCTCTTAAATAACTTACAAGTGTTGATAGGGACGTTCCACCTATATACTTATTTTACTGGATATCCGAATGTGTCATCTCTGGATAAAAGGTGGACATGTAACGACTTGCTTTAGCTTACATGCTGTCACTAACTGTCGATTTACACTATGTCATCCCCCCCCCCC